GCAGACCCTCACCATGACTCCCACCCGGAAACCTATGTCCCCACTGTGGAAGGACGTGTGGATCCAGAACTGGCCTCCACAGTCACTTACGGACTCACTTTTAAAACTGTGTTTATGGAAGACAATCTTACTCGGCCACGAGTGATCGGCAAAGAAGAAGAAGGATCCCTTCACTGAGGAGAGGGACTCAACTTGAGTCTAGCTAGTTTCAGTCCTGCTGTGAATTCTGTGTGTGAGAAAGCGTGTTCTCCATGGGAGAGAGCACGTGTTGCGGTTGGGGATACAGGCCACCCCATTGTTGCTGGGCAGATTTTGGGAAGAACCCAGGCAGCGAAATGGTTAAATTGGTCGCTGGGGAGAATTGAATGTTGCCAAGATTGGAGGTGGGGTCAGAGCTTTTAAATGCTAGATGCCCAACTCTGGGCATCCTCTTGGCTGTTTGCACCGGATCACCCGCCCACCCTCCCTGTAATGGGGGGGGGGGGGTTGTTTACTTGACCTTGCTATGCCTGTCATGGAGTCGTCTGCCTTAGTGTGGGGGCCTGGTAGGAATTTTGCCATCTGGTTGATTGGCTGGTGCCATTTGGTTTTTGCCTACTGCGTAGCAACTTGTAAGGTTGGCGGTTAGGCATTGGTTAAAATTGGTTGGTGGAGGGGTAAGTGCCTACCCCTCCAATGGTGGTGCGGAAAGGGAATTCCGTTAAAGGAATCCAGGGGCTTGCCATTCTTTTCGTCCTTGTCCCTGGCATCGGACTTGGGCCGTGCAAGCCCCACAGGAACATGTGGGTGAGAAGTGAGGGACTGATGCCCAGCTTCATTTCTCACCCAATAATTGTTTCCCATGCTGGCTTCCGCTGGAATCCGGAAGTCAGTTCTGTCCCTGGGGCAAGGGCAGATAGTCATAACCAATGCCTAAGCAACCACTCACATTTTTTGTATTTGAATAAAGTTGTGGCCAAAATTATGTCAAAAACCTTAAACAAAAATCGATGTGTGATGTGTGAATTTATTTTGGGGGGTGGCATGGGAACCTCAAGACGCAAAAGTGTGTTCCCCCTAAAGCTCCAGAGCGTTAACAGTGGACTTTGTGTAAAGCACACTGAGGTAATGAGAGCTCAATGTTCCCAAAACATGATCATCAACAATTGTTAGGCTTAAACCTCAAAGGTGCTGCCTTATTCACCAGATGCATTAGTGAATTAAATTCCAGAGAGATCCATTTCCACGCCATTTTATTATTAACTGACTGTATAACATCGGCAAAGGTCTTACAAAAGGTACTGTGAACTGGGTACAGCTAGCAGTTACAGGGGTGGCAAAGGGTCTGTCAATTCAATGTGCTGGCTGTGGGCGACAGTGACAGCTTCCTGATGGTGAACCACAAATACCTTGATGGTGACGTGGAAACATTTAGTCAGAAAAATGCCCCCCCCCGCATCTTACCAGAGACCAACTACGCATCCCCAGTGATCCCCAACAATTTTTTTTATAGCAAACACAAGTTAGAAATCTAATTAAACCTTTATTGGCAATGTCTGTTTAATTAGATTTCTAACATTTAAATGTTACTGCATGAAATGTTATATTCCCCCCCTTTAAAAATTTATAGAGGAGAGTATGGAAGAGGTCACAGCAAGATGTCAAAGCATGAGATGTGACGGGAGACCTAGAAACAAATGATCTCAATCCCGGAACTAAGCCTGGATATTGAGGGTGGTGTTTTTGTCTCCTCTCAGTTAGACCGTTTGATGCGTTTTTTGTTGCTTTTTGCCTGAGCTGTGTTCTTACTTGATAACACAAAGGTCCAGGTCTGTGTCCAGGAAAGAATGCCATCTGGCAAAGCCATTGAGAAAGGGTTCCTCAATCCACTCTTGCCCAATCACTGCATTGCAAACAGAAATGGGCAAATCCATCCATTTTTATATCTCCCTCCTTCTCATTTTTCTATTCTCCACTTTCCCACATCAGTTTGCATTTTTTTTTAAAAAAATCCTCATCAAAACTCATCAGTGATTTTAGCGCAAATTTCTCCCAATGCACATTTTTGTTCAAAGCATTTCCCTAACAAATATAATGCATTTTTGTATGTTATTTTCACCAATACACACATTTTAATGCACATTTTGCTTGAGTATATGCTTCTTCTTCTTTTCTTATACCTTACTTGGCCGGATAACTCCATTGCTAAATTCAGAGAAGTATTTCGAAGGACGGCTGTGTTTCTGTTTGCGCATTGTTTCAGTGAGTATGAATTAGGTAGGCCCACTTTCAGATATGAACTAAATCAAATTTCTTCCCCACCCCAATTTGCAAGTGCTTAGGGGAGCACTCCCCTGAGTCCCTAATGAGCAATCCTGTATGGAACTTCATAGAAAGAACAATTTAGGTCCCTGCCCTAATGTGTTAGCTTTTATTTAAAAGCTGCCGTAGATTGGGACTCAAGGAGAACCAATCTGCCTGAAGTGCTACATTGCAAGATGGGCTTTCCATGCAACACACTCTCCACAGATATGGGGCATGCTAGATTTTCGCAGCTTGGCTAAAGTTCCCATCACATCAGAATAATGATGTCTCGGATAAAACCTTCTTGAAAATAAACCTGTTCATATGCCATACTGGCTATTGTTCTAACTCCACTGATGGAGGCAGCATGAACCTGAATTGCAGTTGCTGGAAATTACAGGTGGGCATGATGTTGAAAGGGACGCAGGTGGTGCTGTGGGTTAAACCACAGAGCCTAGGACTTGCTGATCAGAAGGCCGGCGGTTCGAATCCCTGTGACGGGGTGAGTTCCCGTTGCTTGTTCCCTGCTCCTGCCAACCTAGCAGCTCGAAAGCACGTCAACGTGCAAGTAGATAAATAGGTACAGCTCTGGCGGGAAGGTAAACGGCGTTTCCGTGCGCTGCTCTGGTTCGCCAGAAGCGGCTTAGTCATGTGGCCGCATGACCCGGAAGCTGTATGCTGGCTCCCTCGGCCAATAAAGCGAGATGAGCGCCGCAACCCCAGAGTCGGCCACGACTGGACCTAATGGCCATGGGTCCTTTACCTTTTTGATGTTGGGAACAGATAATCTAAACCAGCACAGCAATCTCTGACTGTGGCTCCCTCAGAGAGTCTTTCAACACTACCTGTTTGATCCTTTGAAAAATTTACTGGAGATACCAGGAATTAATTCTGGGGCGCACCGTGAACAATGCAGGACGTCTGGGTATAGGGCAGTATATAAATAGTAGTAGTAGTAGTAGTAGTAATGCATATGCTTAGGGCCCTCGTATTTATGGGACCGCCTCTCCTGGTCTGCCCCACAGAGGACTTTAAGGTCCATGAATAATCATAGTTTAGAGGTCCAGGGCCCTAAGGAAGTCAGATTATCCTCCACCAGGGCCAGGGCCTTCTCAGTGATGGCTCCGACCTGGTGGAATGCTCTGTCCCATGAGACCAGGGCCCTGCAGGACTTAACTTCCTTCCACAGGGCCTGTAAGACAGAGCTATTCCACCTGGCTTTCAATTTGAATTTAGCCTGATCTTTTATTCCCCTTCCTTCCCTCCCCCCCCCTTTTTATGAAGATTACCCGCTCTGGGATCCCACAGCTAATCCTCCCCATGTCTCCTCGCTGGCCCAAATAGGACTAATTTAGCCAGCTAGCCCTGGTGATCATCTAATATTTATTGGATGGATTTCCCCCCTACATTGATTTTTGAATTCTGAATTTATTGTTATTCACGTTTTATACTGTATTTTGTTGCATCAATTAAGTGTTTTAAATTTGTTGTTAGCCGCCCTGAGCCCGGTTTTCTGAACCGGGAAGGGCGGGGTATAAGTAAAAATTTATTTTTTATTATTATTATTACTGAGCGGTCTTTTCCTAACAATTTATGCTTCGTTGAGCGTTCCTTGGAGGTTTCTTCTGTTGGAATGCTTGATTTAGGAACCTAGGAAACTGCCTTAAACCAGACCATTAATCTGTCTGTCTTGACTGATTGGCTGATTGGCATGAGCTCTGCAGGATTTGGGGCAGGGTTCTCTCCCAGCCCGGCCATCAGAGATTTAACCTGGGGCCTCCTGTATACAAAGCAAAAACTCTGCCACCGAGCTACAGCCCTTCCTTGTCTTCCACCTATCCCTCCTTGCCTGTTAGTTCTCTTTCATCCCCACCTCCATTGCATTCCCTTCTGGACAATGGCATGTAATCAGAGAAGATGCTGGAGAAGGCAAGGAAAGCCGGTGGATGCTGGTGGAGATGGCTATTGTTTTTGAGCATCATGGGCAGACACTAATTACAATGCATACCATGCAAGACAAGATTTTGTATATTTTAATTTATTATTCTTATTTTTTTGGCTTGGGCTTCTGCTCAGTTCATTCAATTATATATATATATATATACACACAAACATCATTGTTATACAGTGTCCTCCGCACTGAGGTTCCATTTCCTTACATTCTCCTCCCGGCAACAGTGTTTTGAGGCTACTGAACGCCTTTATGCAGCCTGCCCAACCAGACCTTGAAGTCTGAAGGCAAGGCCAATGGACACAATCCTAAGAAGTCCTGGCTGGTTTGGGGAGCAGTGGCAGAGAGAGGTTCTCCTATTGCAAAGCAGACAGGATGGTGGTGTCTTTGGTGAGAAATGTATCCATCAGAGCTACACACGAGCAAGTCAATGCATTCGACTGTTAGGCTCGGCTAATCACTGTGATGAATGCACTGAAGACCACAAGTGTTACTTGGGGCATTTTCCCTAACTGCTGTTGTTTCTAGCACAGTGCAAAGGTTGCAGTTGAAATGAACACTTCTTCATCAGTCTCCCAGAGTCTGAATGCCACCTTGGTCATGAATGAGACAACCTTCAACCGATACAGTGGTTTCAACCCAGCTGACAAATGTATGTAGGCATGACACCCATAACACGGCGTGCGTCGATGTCCAGGCAGAACACATGGTGTCTTCACGGTCCCCATTAGGACCATGCTAATCATGCACCTGGTCCTCAGGAGAGTTAGCAGTGAAGGATCTTCATAAAGGCCTTCCGGAACTCAATATTGAAGGTGGTGTAGATAATGGGGTTGACAGCACTGTTGACATAGCCAAGCCATGTGAAGGCATTGTACAGGGCCGGGGGGATGCCACAGTTGCAGTGCATGTTCAGGATGTGGGTGATGAAGAATGGGAGCCAACAGATGATGAAGACGCCTGCAGGAGGACAAATGAAAGGAGCCAGGTTAGCACTGCAGCGACCAGTCAGTACTTTTTCACAACAGAATGCAGTTAACTTATGCAATGTGCTACCACCAGATGTGGGGAATGTCAGAGAAGCAAATGATATTCCTTGCCATTTGCAGCACGATATGCGGGTGGCGCTGTGGGTTAAACCACAGAGCCTAGGACTTGCCGATCAGAAGGGCAGTGGTTCGCATCCCCGCGACTGGGTGAGCTCCCATTGCTCGGTCTCTGCTCCTGCCAACCTAGCAGTTCGAAAGCATGTCAAAGTGCAAGTAGATAAATAGGTACCGCTCTGGTGGGAAGGTAAACCGCGTTTCCGTGCACTGCTCTGGTTCGCCAGAAGCGGCTTAGTCATGCTGGCCACATGACCCGGAAGCTGTACGCCGGCTCCCTCGGCCAATAAAGCGAGATGAGCGCCACAACCCCAGAGTCGGCCACGACTGGACCTAATGGCCATGGGTCCTTTACCTTTTTGATGTTGGGAACAGATAATCTAAACCAGCACAGCAATCTCTGACTGTGGCTCCCTCAGAGAGTCTTTCAACACTACCTGTTTGATCCTTTGAAAAATTTACTGGAGATACCAGGAATTAATTCTGGGGCGCACCGTGAACAATGCAGGACGTCTGGGTATAGGGCAGTATTGATTGATTGATTGATTGATCTTTATTACGGCCATTGGCCCGTCACACGACAGTTTCCCATACCAACATAATGTACATGAACCTCCAAATTTAAAACCGTCAAAACTTACAAAAAACAGACAAGAACCAAAGCAGAACAAAAACAAAAGACCAACATCATATGTTGCAATAAATTTGTAACATAACCATCACCATCTGCTCACAGATCAATAAAAGACATCAATGGTGATTCACCTAGTTACATCCTAAAACATAGATCATGGTTTAAAGGGATTTTCCGAGCCACACAGGAGTCCGTTTCTCTTCTTTAGGGATAGGACACTGATCAAGAATCTGGCAACCGTGAGTGATCTTAGGGGGTCATCATCATTTAATAGATATCTCAGTTTGGCTTCATTCGTATCATCGGCAATTCCCTTTAGATATTGGGCAAGAAACTTGCTCCTGGCCGATGAGTGAAAAGCACAGTCAAAAATTATGTGATGCAACGATTCCGGTGCCCCACAATTACAATCACATAAGAGCGATATCTGTCCATTGGAGAATCTATTTCTCAGCATGTTCGATGGGAAGGTGTTGAATCTTGCCTTTACAAAGGCATATCTATGAGCCGAAGAAGTTAAGGAATTCAAATAGTTTGGGAGCCTTAAGAGGGGTGATAAACCAAGGTTTAGAGGTGAGCAGGTACCATTGCCCAAGACCATTTTCTGCTGCAAGTCCATCTCCTCTAGTTTACAGGTTACTGTTCTTTTAGCTGGAACTATGTCCTGCTCTAGTAATTTGGATGGGGAGATTCCCATTGTCATTATTTTCAGCTGTAAATTTTTTACCCATGGGCTCTGGAAATCATCTCTCCACATACATTGTATCAAGTACAAGTTTGGGAGATTGTGCCATAGAGATAACCAGTGACAAAGTATGTGCTTCCACAGAGCGTTTTCCAGGGATACAGTATTAAGTTCCATGCGTAACGCTGTATTACTTACACAGTTGGGCAGTTTCAATATCCCTCTTAAAAACTGATTTTGAATAACCTCTAGGTGAGATAGATTGACAAAAGTCCCCCAAATTGAGATGGCATAGGCAATTGTTGGGATCACCTTGGCCTTGAAGACTTTCAACGCCGATGGGATATGAAGAGCCCCATCGGTGAAGAAGAATCGCAAGATCGCCAAGGAGATAGCTTTGGCTCTATTTGTAACATAGGCTACATGGGCCTTCCATCTAAGGTTATGTTGTAACCAAACTCCCAAGTATTGGAATCTATAGACTTGTTCGATGACTCTCCCATCAATTCTCCAATTATGGAGTTTCCGGCTCTTTGAGAAAATTAGAATCTTAGATTTTCCATAATTAATTGTAAGGGAATTTGCGTTACAGTACGATCCAAAAATTTTTAAGGCCCTCCTGAGACCTACTCTAGAAAAGGAAAGGATGACTGCGTCATCCGCATACAGTAACAAAGGGCAGCGATAAAGTGCTAGGCGGGGTGCATGAATCCTTTCTTGAGCCTCTATTAGGGGAGTCCTCATATCGCTTATGAATAAGTTGAACAGGAATGGAGCCAATATACAACCCTGTCGGACACCTCTGTTAATGGGAATTGGATTGGTGAGATCACCCCCGGGGTGAGTCTCACTCTAGCCGCTGAGTTCTCATGGAGTTTGATTATTAGCCAGAGAAGCCTTCTATCGATGCCCCAGCGGGAGAGTTTTTCCCAGAGGATGTTCCTGGGGATACTATCGAATGCTGCCTTTAGGTCAATGAATGCCACACAGAGTTGGCCACCCTTTAGGTATAGGGCAGTATATAAATAGTAGTAGTAGTAGTAGTAGTAATGCATATGCTTAGGGCCCTCGTATTTATGGGACCGCCTCTCCTGGTCTGCCCCACAGAGGACTTTAAGGTCCATGAATAATCATAGTTTAGAGGTCCAGGGCCCTAAGGAAGTCAGATTATCCTCCACCAGGGCCAGGGCCTTCTCAGTGATGGCTCCGACCTGGTGGAATGCTCTGTCCCATGAGACCAGGGCCCTGCAGGACTTAACTTCCTTCCACAGGGCCTGTAAGACAGAGCTATTCCGCCTGGCTTTCAATTTGAATTTAGCCTGATCTTTTATTCCCCTTCCTTCCCTCCCTCCCCCTTTTTATGAAGATTACTCGCTCTGGGATCCCACAGCTAATTCTCCCCATGTCTCCTCGCTGGCCCAAATAGGACTAATTTAGCCAGCTAGCCCTGGTGATCATCTAATATTTATTGGATGGATTTCCCCCCTACATTGATTTTTGACCCGGAAGCTGTACGCCGGCTCCCTCGGCCAATAAAGCGAGATGAGCGCCACAACCCCAGAGTTGGTCACGACTGGACCTAATGGTCAGGGGTCCCTTTACCTTTACCTTTATGCAGTCGTACCTTGGTTTTCAAACAGCTTAGTTCTCCAATGTTTTGGCTCCCGAATGTCGCAAACCCTGGAAGTGACTGTTCCGGTTTGCAAACTATTTTTGGAAGCCAAACTTCCGACAGGGCTTCTATGGCTTCTGATTGGCTGCAGGAACTTTCCACAGCCAATCAGAAGCCGCGCTTTGGATTTTGAATGTTTTGGAAGTCAAATGGACTTCTGGAATGGATTCCGTTCGACTTCCAAGGTACAACAGTATGGTTGTTTTTCCCTGCATAAAGTGTGTTTTGAGCCCCACAATCAAGAGGCTACTTTTGTCAAAGACCTTTCCAAAGTACCTCTGCCCTCTTTCATTTTCTACTGCATCTTTGGTGTTAGATTTCCCTCTTTATTTTGGCAGCTGCAGTTGTTATAATTTAATTCCTCACATGGTAATGCAGGGATGGGTAACCTGTGGCCCTTCAGATATGGTTGGACTCTATAACTCCTATCATCTCTGATGATTGACCATGTTGGCTGCAGCTGATGGGAACTGTCATCCAACAACATGTATTATGTTGGTAACAGCCTTGGCCAACCTGGTGCTCTCTGGATGTTGTTGGTGAAACTCTCATCAGCTCTAGCTGGATTTGATGGGAATTGTTGTTCAGCAAATTTCAACAAGAAATTCCTGCATCATTTGCCCTTCTCTTTTATGATTCCGAGTAAGCAACTGCCTCAGACAGTGAAGTAACCATTGATCGCCTTATAATCAATGGAGGGTATCAGGTTGACAGAGGCTGCTGCAGAAATTATTATTATTATTTTAATTATATCTACTTTATTACTTTAATGATTTTTTTAAAAATACCCACATTAGGAACTTTAAGAATGCAAACAGTGGTTTATAAAGATTGATATAAATACATAGAACAAAGGCATCAGAAGCCTCCAATTCACTATCAAACTCAGTGGAAGGTGGTTCTTGGATGGATGGAGAACTTCTGTAAACTAGAGGTGGAAATGACATGGAACCCTTACCAAGCACTATGGCCAGCATCTGCGTGGCTTTCTTTTCCTTCTGCTGCGAAAACTTCCTCCTGCTCATCGTCTTGAGGGAGGTCCTCGTCTTGCCATTGGGCATTGTTTGGATCTCAAATATCTTGGCTGCTTTGGGGTTATCCACCGTATGCCCATTCTTCTCTACTTTTGGTGGGCCGTCCGTGGGAGACCGCAGAGTGGCATTGGCACAGAGGTTGGAAGCAGCTGGCATGGCCACTTCGTCGTTACTTGGCACAGGTGGCTTGTGTTTGGTTTTCTCTGCAGGGCTGGTGCTGGTTGCCATCTCCATCTCTTCCATGTGATTTACTGCATCCTGGACAAAGATCACATTCGCCCCCATTTTTAATTATTTTTTACAAAAAGGATTTAAGGAAACCTACCTAAATTACTTCGTTCAAAGAGTGACTCAAGGGGGGGGTTAGGGTTATGGTGTAGGATGCAATTCTAAGCTCTGGTTGGCAGCAGCAGGGCTTGACGGAGCCAGGATTGTATCTGTAACTCTGGTGCTCATGCCATCCAAGGCAAAATATTGGGGAGGGGGGAAGTGCATTTTGACCCCATTCAGCACATTCAACTTTTTAATACCAGATTTTAACAATTGCATTTGTAATCCAATTCATGGCTTTCATATACTATTGATATGTCATTATTATTATTATTTTCACTACATTTATATATCACCTTTCTTCCAGGATACAGGGTTCTCTACTCCCCTCACAACAACCCTGTGAGGTAGGTTAGACACAGAGACAATGACAGGCCCAAAGACACTCAGTGATCTTTGTGGCTGAGCGGGGATTTTAATCCTGTTCTCCCAGACACTCAACACCCAAGTGGCTCCGATTTAATGCACAATCTATCTCTCAGATGATACATTTTCATTCTGGAATATGAAAAGATGTTATCTGTTCATGCCAAATGAACTGATGTCTTAATTGTTCAAACTGTTATGTGGATAGATAGCCTCCTTTAAAAGAGGTTGGGGCGAGCTGTGAAGGGATGGGCAAAAGGATGGGTGAGGTGTAAAGGGAAGGGAGTTTGGTCAGGTGTAGAGGGAGGAGGAGCTGGCCAGGTGTGTGGGGAGAGGGTTGGTAAAGGGTCAGGTGAGTGGATTGAGTAGGAGCTGTAGCCTCATGTCATTTATATTTGTTACTTGCTTTTCTTAGAAAGTAACACACATTAAGGCCAAGTCAGAAAAGCCAATAAAAATCCATGTAAATATATGGCAGGACTTACAGATCCTACCCCACTGAAAGATGCCACAGTGCTAGCCCAAATTAAGGGCCAAAATGCTGGTAAAGAAAAAAGTATTTGCCTGGCACCTAAAAGGAGATAAAGATGGTGCCAGACATGCCTCCTCGGAGAGAGCATTCCACAAGTTGGGGGCCACCACTGAAAAGACATGAACTCTTCTTGCCACGCTCAGAACAGGGACAGGGCACACAAAGAAGTGCCTCAGATGATGGTTGTGGGGTTCAGGTCACTTCATGTGAGCAATGCTGGTCCTTGAGATACTGGGGTCCTGAGCTGTATAATGCTATACAGGTAACCAGTAGCAACAACATCAGGCATTTCTCCATTTTAAATCAGGTTCAGGGCTGGCACCAAAGGATGGCATAGTTGGGCATCTGCCAGGGACAAACATTACACCAGTGAGCCCCACTGACAAGAGCGCTCCCTGAACTTGCTCCTCCAGCACTGCAGCCCACTAACTTGTTCATCCACCAGTTGCTTTGGCTCAGGCTCTGGTGGTGATGAGGGACGCGGGTGGCGCTGTGGGTTAAACCACAGAGCCGAGGACTTGCCGATCAGAAGGTCGGCGGTTTGAATCCCCACAACGGGGTGAGCTCCCGTTGCTCGGTCCCTGCTCCTGCCAACCTAGCAGTTAAAGAAAGCACGTCAAAGTGCAAGTAGATAAATAGGTACCACTCCGGCGGGAAGGTAAATGGCATTTCCGTGCACTGCTCTGGTTCGCCAGAAGTGGCTTAGTCATGCTGGCCACATGACCCGGAAGCTGTTTGCAGACAAACACCGGCTCCCTCGGCCAGTAAAGTGAGATAAGCACCGCAACCCCAGAGTCGATCACGACTGGACCTAATGGTCAGGGGTACCTTTACTATGGTGGCGATGAGGAGGAGCAGGAGACGTCCTTGCTTACATGCTCAGAAGTACATGTGATGAGGAAGAGGAGCACAGCAGCAGTTTATGGTGGTGAGGAGGCAGACTCACGGGGGAGCTGGACTCTGGGAGAGTGTCTTGCCCTCTGTACAAAACCTGGAGCCTGCATGGAGTGGACTTGCTGAAATGGAGAAAGCTTGGGAGAAATCCCGGGGTGGACTTTCTCTGGGGAAGGAGGGGGGACTGAGGTTTCCTGAGCTGAGCAAGTGCTCAGAGGAATCCTCTCTATGTTTGCTTCCCTGGAGCTGAGTTCCTGGCTCCAGCTGGAGAGACTCTAAGAACTGAAAGAGATCCTGCAAGCCTGAAGCCTGCTATTGCTTGTAGTACAACTCACCACTCTCCGTTTGTGAAGTTGGAAGCTCCCATTGGTCTTCATGATGAGTGTGCAGAGCCTGACGTCTTCTAGATGAGTGCATTTGCTCTATGGGTGGGGAGGGAGGGAGTGCAAGGAAGGGAGGGGAAGCAAGGAAGGACAAACAGGGAGTGTAAGAAGAGATAAGTCTGGCCTGTGAGCTAGAGAGATGGATTTGAAATTCAGAAGACCAGGGATGGAGGATATAGATGTGAGGGCCCTGACTGTGTGTGTCTCCCTGAATAAACAGGGATCAGCTTGGCAAAGTCTGTAGCTTATCCTGGGTGAAGCAGGTGGGTGAAAAACTAAGTAAGAGATGTATTTCAAAAAAATTTCTATATTACCTCTATAGCCTTTCCTTACAGGGGAATCACTCCAATCAAAACTATCAAAGGAGCAACTCCTGTTTAGAGAAAGGGTAAGGGGTGGTGGTGGGTGGGGCTGGCCCACCCTTGAGGCAAGATGAGGTAACTGCCTCAGGTGGGCAGCAGATTCCAATGTAGCTCTTTATTCCACCTTGTTGCTGATGAAGATCTTCATTTTCACCTCTTCTTCCCTGGAGGGGAGGAGGATGCCATTTTGTGGTTCACCTCAGGTGCCAAAATGTCTTGGGCCAGTTCTGGTGGTGGGAAATGATAGAGTCATATACTATTATGCTTGGTGTGGGGAAAGTGGACAGAGAGATGTTTTTTTTCTCCCTTTCTCATAATACTAGAACTCAAAGCCATCCAGTGAAGCTGAATGTTGAAAAATTCAGGATTGAACAAAGCAAATCTTCACAAAGTGCTTGGTTGCATTGTGGAATTTGCTTCCACAAGAGTCAGGGATGGCCACCAATTTGCAGGGTTTAAAAGAGGATCTGGCAAATTCACGAAGGAGAAGGCTACTAGCCAAGATGGTCCTGCCTTCATGCCAGAGGCAGTATGGCTCTGAATACAAGCTGTTGTGAATCACAAGTAGGGAGAAGGCTCTTCTGTTTTCCAGAGCCATCTGACTGGCCACTGTGAGAGAACAGGATGCTGGACAAGATGGGGCTCCTTGGGCCTGATCTAACAAGGTTATTCCTATGTTGTTACGCCTGCAATTCTTGTGAATACCCCTCTTCAAAAAAAATAAACACAGATAGGCCAACAGTCATATACTGTGGCTTCCCAGGTGCTTGATAAACTCTATACTTTCCATCCTTTGGACAGGCAGCAAAACTAGAACATTTATTGAGAGCCCGAATGCATGGGTCGAGAAGCTTTGAGGGCCACAATCTGTATAGCCCCTGGTCGTATTTTCCACTTTGATCTCTAGCTTGCACCTGTTCAGCTATTGCTATGGAAGTTGTCACTAAATGGTACAGGATGGGATGCCTCCAGGTTTTGTTTTGTTTTGGAGGTATGTAGGGTGAACTGCTCTCCCCAGTGTCATTACCAACAACTGTTGCCCCAACTCCTGGTGTGCCTATTAAGGGCAAGGACAGTCAACCATGGTAGGAAGATGAACTCCCCCTATATTGGGGGTGCAATAATATAAGAAGAGCCTGCTGGATCAGGCCAATGACCCATCTCGTCCAGCATTCTCTTCTTGCAGTGGCCAAACTGATGCTTGTGGGAAACTCTCAAGCAGGACCCAAGCCCAAGCGCACTCTTGCCTCCTGTGGTTTCCAGCAACTGGTATTGAGGAACATTACTGCCTCTGACCATGGCAGTACATCCTGGCCACCATGACTAGCAGCCATGGATAGCCTGCTCCTCCATGAATTTGTCCAATCCTCCTTTAAAGCCATCCAAGTTGGTAGCCATTGCCATCTCCTATGGAAAGTGAGCTCCATAGCTTAACTATGCAATGGGATAGCGATGTCAGAAACCAGGACGGCAGCTGAGGACTGATGCCTCTTCTGCTTTTGCCTAGGAGCCCTACCTGAGTCAGAGAACCAAACAGCCATCTCAGGTTCACTCACGCCGAACAGCAAAGATTGGGGAAGGAAAAGGAGGAGATGGGAAATCCTTGGGGATAAATCAGGATCAGGGAGGAAAAAGGAGATGGAAATTGGTGTGTGGGTGTTGCTTGGGTTCTGATTACCTTCAGTGGGGCCTCGGTTTCAGGGTCCAGGCCCACGTTGGTGGCGGCGACGCGCTTGGTGTTGACCCGCTTCCTGCGTTTCCGCAGCACTATGTATATCTGCACGTACACCAGCAGGGTGACAATGAAGGGGACGTAGAAGGAGACGATAGAGGAATACACAACAAAGGCAGGATTGGCAATGAAACACTCATTCTTCTCTGGAAGACACAAGAGATTGCAGGAGCATTGTCCCAGCCATTAGGAGCTACTGCCAGCTTGCATGTGAGTTTGTGCTACTACAAGAAGGTGCAAAAGATGTTGTTTCTGGGGGAGAACCTCATCACACTCGGTCCCAATGCAATAAACTCCAATGCAAGCTTGAGATCTTCAGCAGTGGAGACTGCATGACTGTTATGGAATCTATCCAGCCTCACATACATGACACTGTTCCGTGGGAGAGCAGCCCCGTCCCAAGACACTGCTAATTTCAAGGGGGCGGCATGCTGTCTCCCTGCCTTGCTAGTCTTTCTGACTTGCAGTTCCATAAAGTTATTTAAGAGACAAGGGGAGGAGAAGGAGGAGAGTGAATGTCAAGGCTGGAGCCGGGAGCCAGTCAGCCATAACTCCCCAAGTGTCAGTGAAGTTAACTCTTTATTCAAAGAAACAAAATAGCTTAGGCCTAGTGAGCACAGCAACTCTTCCCAGTATGTCTTGCCCCAGTGAGGCAGTTGTGAGGACTGAAGACCCCCCACCTTCTCATAGCTCTCTAAGTCTCCTCCTCCCTTGGTTACTTCCCAAACAGTCTGAGGCTCCTTTGTTTTGCCTGTTTCTGCTTTACTCGTGTCATACTGCAGCAGGTTCTGGGTGACCAGCAGAGAGGGGAGCTGGTCGCAGCAGAAAGGGGGAAAAACCCAGGCTTCTTCAGCAGCCTGCTTCATATTTTTCTCTGGGGTCCCCCTCCAATCCAGTCTCTGCTTCTGCCTCTGATTCTGGACTGCTCTCTGCCATAGCCTCTTCCTGCTCACTAAACCCTGTTACCTCTGCAATTTTCAACACCTCCTCCAGTCCTCTTCCACTGACCACTCATTATCATCTCCCCAACTCTGGGCCTTCTTCCCTCGGGGTTACCCAACTGCTGCCTCCCACCACACCTCTGTATCCAGCCAGTCCATGACAGTGAGTGGTGGAAGTTTGCACCCCCTCAGGAGATCAGATGTTGCTGTGGCAGAAATACAGTGTGACCAAGAGAAACACACTGGGCTATTTTTCTAGACGGACCTTTGCCAGTCTTTCTGAATGAGCCATTGCAGATTCATAAAAATAACATGGAATTATAATTCGGGCAGGAGAATAAAGAGTATCTACACCAGCTTTTGACACAATGGTGCACTCTAGTTGTTATTGGACTACAACTCCCATCAGCCTCTTCCAGCACTGTTGGTAAAGGCTGTTCTTCCCAATTTCAGCTGTGCTGAAAGTAGGCCTGTTTCAGTCTTTCTTGTGGGTGCACATGTGTGCATTTGCTTGCTTTCTGCACAAACTACCCTTTGGGGTTACAAGAAGAGGAAGGCGGGACAGAGAAAGAGAATGCTGGCTAAGTTTACAGCCTAATCCCCACCCCCAGACTTGAACCCAGCACAGAATGCACTCCCTATTTTATTTTATCATGCTTACTTGTGTTGTTCAGCCCAAAAAGCAGTGGGCAGGAGACAGCAAAGGAGAGGACCCAGACCACGGCGATCATGACAGTGACTCTGCGCTTGGAGCTGTAGCGTGTGTTATAAAGCATTGGCATGGCCACGGCAGTATACCTGTTTGGAAGGGAGACACAAGAGTGGGAACTCAGTGTGGCATTGGAGCTCACCTGCACTGCTGAAAAACAAACAAGGAGGGGAAGGATGGCAGAGGAAAGTTCAGGTCCAGAGATAGCAAGGATTCGTGGTGCTGTGCTGGAATGAGCATGCAATCCCTTGCAAGCTGGGAAGGAAATCAGAGATGGATTCTCTACCTGTCGATGCTGATGGCGCAAAGGTTGAGGATGCTAGCTGTGCACATCATAACGTCCAGGGTGACGAAGATGTCACAGTGGATGCGGCTGAAACGCCACTCACCAACCACCTGAGAAGAAAACAGCATCGGTGTCAGGGATGGGGAAGTCCAAGACTCTGTACAACAATAATGAAGACTTGGGTGGAATCTACACATATAAAAACACTGTGAAAATGTTGGTTTTAAAAAATATATTGAATTCACCATAGCTCACCATCGCCATCTAGTGTCACATTTGTATATTGCACTTTACAACACACCTGAAATGTTCAATATTCAACTGTATAGCTGATTCCCTGGAGAGATTTGTTTATCCAGGTATACCTATTCCATTTTCCAGCCAGATGGCCTTTGCAGCAGCCTCCCCTAGCTTCACACTCTCCTTATGTTTTGGGCTATGATTCCCATCAACTCCAGTCAACCTGATCATGCTGGGTGGTGATGATGAGAACTGTAATCCAAACACCAGGAAGGCACCTGGTTGGGAGCCAGCTGCCCTAGAGGAACTTAGAGACAGTTTTGTTATGGAATAATTCAAGAAGCGCAGAAACAGTGCTTGCATGGGCTGCATCTGAGTTTCTTTGGTGCAATCTCTTCAATCAATCAATTTATTTCTCAAATGCCCAGAGCAAGACAGTTCCAGCATAACCACATAAGCGCTCTCTCCTTCCCTTCCTCTCTCCTGCACAAATCACACCTTTGATCAGGTTTCCAGATGTTCATTGCTTGCCGCTTTTGGCTGTTGCAGTCTAGCTTGTCTGAATGTAAAAATCTAGACCTGCCTGTCCGGAGAGATCAGCACTGATCCTATCAGCTGGGGGGAATTTGGAAACAGACAACATGCTCCTGAATATACATCCAGCAAGCTGCCAACAGACTCCCCCCACCTGCCCCCAAGCTCTCCCTGGCCTCTGTAATTCTTGGAATCTACATCAGTGTCTCTCAGCATCATTCACTTTAAGGGAGAGGATGTGAGACTTCAGAAGGAATTAGAAGACAAACTAATGAAGTGTTACACACAATGCTGGTGGGGAGTGCACTCTTTGTGGTGGTTGTGGAATGCAGCTTAAGAAGAGATCTGTCACATCAGGCCAGTAGACTCCCTGCCCCTGGCATCTGACACCCAGAATGACACTGTCTCTGGGATGTTTTATTTATTAATTAAATCACTTCATAGCGAAACTTTATGAGTGGTTCATAGCAAAATAGAAAAGGTTGCATCCCCCCCCCATTATGTCTTATAGCTGCATGGCGGAGAGGCCTTCTGGGGACAATGTGCATTTGCAACAGCATCCTTTTTAGCAGCAAAGCATTTTGGGTGCAGGTGACAGACAAGGCACCAAAAAAACGTTTTGACTGTCATGTGGAGCACTCAACAACAGGGGTGTTTTTGATTTGGAGATGTAGGAAATGCAAAACCCAAACACCATGTGTCCAAAATGGTTTTAGAACTGTGGCGTTTTTTTAAGTGTATTTAAAAATCTAACCCCCCCCCCATCACATACACTCCAAAGGGGAAAGAACACACCCATGCAAATATTTTTTGGTAAACACAGTTTCAGAAATGGGCAAAAGTTGTATGTTTCAGTGGAATTTGATTTCTTGGCAGTCAAAAACTTGTTGGGAACGCTTTTCCTGCAGTGCATTCGTGCAAATGAGTTTCATGCGTCACATTAAAAATATGCATGCAATATTTCAACCAGAACAAGGCAAAACCATCAAAATCCAAATGACACTGTCTACTGTCTGATAAACTATCAGTCATTATTTATTTTTATTCTCTTGGAAGGGATAAACTGACATTCCATTTGAAAGCAGGTTGAGGATCATACAGAGGGAGTCCGGGACTGTTGTTGCCTATACTTGCTCTTGAAAAGTGTGGCAAGCATTGCCACAGATAAATATATATAAAGGAAACAAGCCCCATTGATTTTTTTTTTTGTTTACTTTGGAATGGAGCACAGAAGTAAGAGCAGGAGAGGCATTTTTGTGCAGTAATGACACTTAAATGTATGTCCATCCAGCAGGTGAATAGCATCCATTGGGGAATCCGTAAGATTCTCTATTATTGTGGGATTAATGTGGATTCCCTGCCAAATTTTGCCTCTAACAGAGTCAAACAACTCATCAAAGAAAAAATGTATTTGAACTCTAAATGGAGGGACATTCATTCACTTTCCCAGATGGCATACTCATCCTGGTATCCAATATATAAAACATCTTTTGGGCTGGAGCAATACTTCATTAATTCCACGCTGACACCCCTTAGAAAAGCATTTACAGCTTTGTGTCTTCAGTGTATGCCCTCCGCATATCGAATGGGAAGATTCAATAACATCTCTGTGTATCTAAGACTGCATCTGTGAGTCGGGAGACATGGAGGACATTCAACACTATTCGTTACAATGCCCCTTATGTACATCCCCTAGACAAAAATTCCTCGATTACATCCTTTGCTCTCTTTCCATCTGACCTCCCCTTGAGCAATTCTCTATTTAGCTGGCTGGCAATAACGTATTTATTATTGCACTGGTTGCAAAACTTGGCTTGGCTGCAAGTAAGTTGAGAGCTAGGCATCAAGACAAATAGCATAAGGGGGAGTGTGAGATATGGAGTGCTTAACTTATGCAGGTGTGGTTTTTTTGCATTTTTGTATGTTTGCTTTGCTGCTATTGTTGTTCAGTTTCAAATTAATTATTTGTATTCTACGCATTGTGACCAATTGTGATGGCCTATAGTAGGCACCACCTACCTGCGGCCCTCCAGATGTTTTGGTCTACAACTCCCATGATCCCTAGCTAACAGGACCAGTGGTCAGAGATGATGGGAATTGTAGTCCAAAACATCTGGAGGGCCGAAGGTAGGGGATGCCTGGCTTATAGCTTTTGGCAATAAAGATTTCATTAATCCATTCATCCATTGGGGAAATGAGTGTGCAAAATAACAGCGACTAAGGTAGATTTCCTGGAAGACTTGATGGTGCTTGCTAGAATATTGGGCCCCCTGCTTTTTGAGCCAACCAGGATTTAACTAACTCAAGGGCTTGCCTAGTTCCTTCCCACAGGAACCCCACAGACAGATCAACATCCTAACGAGGTGGAAGAGTAACAGGAAGGGGGGGGCATGTTTGAAGTGGACAGGTCTTTCCTCAGCTTGGCAGTCTTTAAGTTGAAGTGTTAAGTAAGCGGGAGTGCTAAAATCTTGTGCAATGTTCTTGGGCGGGTGGGAGTTTAGCAGGGTGTAAGACATGGAAGGAAGGATTTTTAAAGTGAAATCTGTACAGTACCACAGCTGGCCCTTTGAACACTGCATGCATTAAAGACTGCAATGCCCTGAGCCAAAATTCCTGCTCCGGGATATACATGTCATTACAGCCCAGGAGCCAAATGCAACCTTCTAGGCCTCACTGTCTGGTCTTTCTTTCCAATTATTTTCAATGCATTTGCCTATAAAATACACATTTTGCATGGATCTTTTACATAAGATGCGTACATTTTCTGCACTGAAACAGCATCACAAAAGCAAGAAAAGTGCATAATCTGATTGGGTTCTGATTTTCAGTCAAGTCTGGGAGTGTCAGGTTGGAATGGTCCACTGTGAAGAGCAGGTGGAAAAAGTTCCTATCCCCTCCCTTTCTTAGGTAGTTAATTCAATTTCACTCTGTTAATTTTAATATTATATTTGAGCTTTTGCATGACATAAAACCCACTTCTAGCAGAATCTAATGGGAGTTTAGTGCTCCCTTCTGTGGTAATGGGTTCCAAAACAATCTGTTTGCAACCCCATTGACCCAGAATTTTATGGAAGTAAAGTTACAAAATTTAGGGTGTTATACCGCCATACAGTCATTTCCTGCCATTTTCACGGGGGAAACATAGTGAAACAGAAGCATGCATGTGTGGAAAGTGTGGGGGAGCAGTGACACTGTCTAATAACATTTGCTGTTATGTTATACCGTGCCCACTGGTGTGAATGGAATTTATTGTGGGATGACAGTATATCGATCAAAAAGCCGCAGTTCCATAATGCAACAGGTACTGCTGTGTGAAAGGAACATCTGAAAATGGGACAGGAGCAGTAGCATTAGAATCAGAAAAATGAACACAATATTCCCCACATCTGAACACTTCCCAAGTGTTTGGGTCATTTCTTCCTGACCCTAAATGGATGAGCTTCAAGGCTTCTTAACCAGGGCAAGTTGCAATAGACTATTCCTAGAGTCTGCCTACCTCCAAGTAGACCCCCCATGGCATCACCAAAGTAGCCACAAGCAGGTCTGCCACGGCGAGGCTGACAATCAGGTAGTTGGTGGTCGTCTGAAGAGCCTTCTCCCTCGACACAGCCATGCACACCAGCACATTTCCAAAGACGATGACGAAGATGAGGAGAGTGAGGAGCATGGCATAGAAATTATACTGAGGGGGCTCCTGTCCTGGGCTGGACCCATTGAGGGTTTGGTTATCGTAGCTGTCATCATACGAGGACATGTTCTGGAAATCCATGAGGAAGAAGCAGCTGGTTTGGGGATCTGTCTCACCACAAAAGGGGAAGACAAAAGAGTTGGTCATTAACTGGTAACCAGCAGTGAGGAACATTTAGTCACAGATCTTAAGGCCACCATATTTGAACAACAAGGTTTCAGAGAGAGGCTCCAGTGTGAAACTGATACTGAACTGAAATTTAATAAGATGCATGCAGAAACCAACATAAACTGAGGGGTGGTTGTCTCACTGCAAACAAACAATTGCCCTACTTTAGGTGTTTATCATTTTCAATCATGCTATGCCAATTTATCACCAATGGCTGGTTGGCAATGGGCTGCCCATTCTAACTGGATCTTATATTCATTTCTGCTCTGCAAAGCAATGGGAGATTCCTGCTACTGTCTGTACACTGCACAGTCTTTTGATCTCACTTTGCCATGCCTCCCTTCCCTTTGTACATAAGTCTGCCTAGGACACCTAATATTATTTTATCCATTCATTCTCAGGATTTTTAGAACCTTCCTGTCTGATGATACGTTGACACCTTGCAATAAGTCTGCATAGAAAGCTTAAAACAGCAACACTGCGACAGAAAATAAAAATAAAAAATCTGTATTTAACAAAGTAGAATAGGGCTTGCAAAAATTGCCCTCCTTGAAAAGATCTCTTATAAACTGAGTGTATTTTAAGGGCTAAGCTCAAATGACCCATTTTCTTTATTTTTTTTGCTATGCAAGGTGATTTTTATTTATCGGATGGATATTGTGGCACACAGTTGCCCAGCATTACAAGTCTGTGCAAACTCCTGGCTCATCTAAGACTTTATAGAGCTTTTATTGTCAATAACGATGGAGCTTACAGGTGGAGACTACTTTCATTTTTACCTATCTTTGATATTTGTAAAGGGAATCCTTGTATGAGTCAATACTTTATTATTCCTTTGGAGATGTGCTGTACCTCCTGTCCTTCCAGACTGTGAGGCTTTGTGGTTTACATTTTGATTCTTTGCTTTCTTTCATTTTGTTATATTTGCACTTCTTATCAAATCAATAAAAATATTTTTTTAAAAATAAAAATAAATTCCAGGAATTTAAGAACAGCCTTCTGGATCAGCTCAATGGCACATCCAGTCCAACATCCTGTTCTCACAGTGCCCAACCAAATGCCCCAATGAGAATAACAACCCTTTGCACTTGTGTTCTCTAGCAACTGGATATATTGGGGGTGTGCTGAGGGAGGAACAGTGGGAAACCTAGATCTAAAGGGAACAACTCCTTCCCCAGCTCCCTGACACACATACAGACCCAGGAGAAATTTGTCAACTCAGGAGCTGGTGCAAATCAATACCTTTTCAATTTCTATTCCACTGTTCCTAATGACAATAGTGGATCTCGTCATCTCAAATTTCAACGCCTCAATGGATATAAAATTTACATCATGTTATGGTTTAAGAGAAAATGATATGAAAATCATATATTGTTGATATCTAACACCGTGTCCAATGAGGCCTTACAAATAGCAGGGGAGAGAAGGCAAGCAAAATGCGAGGGAGATAGTGAAAGATACAGGAAATTGAATGCAGATTTCCAAAAAATAGCAAGGAGAGACAATGAGCAATGCAAAGAAATAGAGGAAAACAATAGAATGGGAAAAACCAGAGCTCTTTTCAAGAAAATTGGAGATATGAAAGGAACATTTCGTACAAAGATTACCACAATAAAAGACAAAAGTGGAAAGGACCTAACAGAAGCAGAAGACATCAAGAAGAGGTGGCAAGAATACACAGAGGAATTATACCAGAAAGAAATGGATGCCTCATATACCCCAGGTAGTGTGGACCTTGAGCCAGACATCCTGGAGAGTGAAGTCAAATGGGCCTTAGAAAGCACTGCAAATAACAAAGCCAGTGGAAGTGATGATATTCCAGCTGAACTATTCAAAATTTTAAAAGATGATGCTGTTAAGCTGCTACACTCAATATGCCAGCAAATTTGGAAAACTCAGCAGTGGCCAGAGGATTGGAGAAGATCAGTCTACATCCCAATCCCAAAGAAGGGCAGTGCCAAAGAATGCTCCAACTACCGCACAATTGCACTCATTTCACACGCTAGCAAGGTTATGCTTAAAATTCTACAAGGCAGGCTTAAGCAGTATGTGGACCGAGAACTCCCAGAAGTGCAAGCTGGATTTCGAAGGGGCAGAGGAACCAGAGACCAAATTGCAAACATGCGCTGAATTATGGAGAAAGCTAGAGAGTTCCAGAAAGACATTTACTTCTGCTTCATTGACTATGCAAAAGCCTTTGACTGTGTCGACCACAGCAAACTATGGCAAGTTCTTAAAGAAATGGGAGTGCCTGATCACCTCATCTGTCTCCTGAGAAATCTCTATGCGGGACAAGATGCTACAGTAGGAACTGGATATGGAACAACTGATTGGTTCAAAATTGGGAAAGGAGTACAGCAAGGCTGTATATTGTCTCCCTGCTTATTTAACTTATATGCAGAATTCATCATGCGAAAGACTGGGCTGGATGAATCCGAAGCCGGAATTAAGATCGCCGGAAGAAATATCAACAACCTCAGATATGCAGATGACACAACCTTGATGGCAGAAAGTGAGGAGGAATTAAAGAACCTTTTAATGAGAGTGAAAGAGGAGAGTGCAAAATATGGTCTGAAGCTCAACATCAAAAAACCGAAGATCATGGCCACTGGGCCCATCACCTCCTGGCAAATAGAAGGGGAAGAAATGGAGGCAGTGAGAGATTTTACTTTCTTGGGCTCCATGATCACTGCGGACGGTGACAGCAGTCACGAAATTAAAAGACGCCTGCTCCTTGGGAGAAAGGCGATGGCAAACCTAGACAGCGTCTTAAAAAGCAGAGACATCACCTTGCCAACAAAGGTCCGTATAGTTAAAGCCATGGTTTTCCCAGTAGTAATATATGGAAGTGAGAGCTGGACCATAAAGAAGGCTGATCGCTGAAGAATTGATGCTTTTGAATTATGGTGCTGGAGGAGACTCTTGAGAGTCCCATGGACTGCAAGAAGATCAAATGTATCCATTCTTAAGGAAATCAGCCCTGAGTGCTCCCTGGAAGGACAGATTGTGAAGCTGAGGCTCCAGTACTTTGGCCACCTCATGAGAAGAGAAGACTCCTTGGAAAAGACCCTGATGTTGGGAAAGATTGAGGGCACAAGAACAAGGCAACGACAGAGGATGAGATGGTTGGACAGTGTTCTCGAAGCTACAAACATGAATCTGACCAAACTGCGGGAGGCAGTGGAAGACAGGAGTGCCTGGCGTGCTCTGGTCCATGGGGTCACGAAGAGTCGGACACGACTAAACGACTAAACAACAAAACACCAAGTAAACTGACAAAAATGTATAAATCTAAATCAAACAAGTGTTGGAAATGTAAAGAGAAAGAAGGTTATTTTTATCATATTTTATCATATTTATCATATTTATCATATTTTATCATATTTATCATATTTTATCATATTTATCATATTTTATCATATTTATCATTCTGGTCAGGTTAAAGCTTACTGGGAAATGATATACAATGAACTGAAAAGGGTGTTCAAAATAATGTTTGTAAAAAAACAACAACAGAAGCTTTTCTTTGGGGTATTATAGGGATCAAACTACCTACATTGTATAGAAATTTATTCATGCATGCTACTACAGCAGCAAGAATGCAACTCACCCGAAAATGGAAAGAAGCAGAAGTCCCAGCAAAGGAAGAATGGATACAAAAACTTACGGAATATGCAGAAATGGCGAAACTTACCAGAAGAGTAAGAAATCAAGATAAGTTTTTTATTATTATTATTAAAGAATAGATATTGTTTATTGAATATTTACAGATAAATTGCAAACAGGTAAGAACATTGGCAGGATTATTGTAATAACCCGCAGTTTCATAAGAGTTTATATTTAAAGCAGACAATTAAACGAGCAAATTAAATGAATTTGGATATGCAGAAGATATTTAAAAATAAATTTAAGGAACCGCAGAAAGAGGGGGAAGGAAGTCAAACTTTGAAATGTTAAAATGATTGTAAAGTTAATGGAATGTATACATTTGAAAAGTATAAATAAAAACTTTTTATTAAAAAAATTCAACATCCATTCTACATCCTAGTTGCTGTGCCCTCCGCAGCACCCCTGAGGCTTCACGCCCAGTACAACCAAACTAGTTGTGCTCCCCTAAATCTGTCTCTGAGGTTAGTCTGACACCTGAGATAAAGGGACTTGTAGAACTTTGCATATCGCTCAGTATGCACAGTGGGCAGGGAACGCCCCTCCAAATGATCCATCTATAGCTCATTCAAGTTTCACTTCTTGAACTGAAAGGCTGGCTGGTCTGAGATGTTTAGTATTCCTTCCTAGTGTCCTCCCCTTGACTCAATGGCCTCCCCTTGACTTATCTCGGCGGGAGATAAGACAAAAAGGTTAACCATATTAATTGAAGAGGAAGTTGGATACAAGAGTATAATCCCCCGCTATATTGCACTTGATGAGCTAAGGCATCTTCTTGGCCAAGTACACAATGCTTTGAAGCTCCTTCCTCGCTGTTCCTTCTCCCTCCCCTCTGAAATGTCCTTTCGGCAAATTATAGTCTACTCTTGGTGAAATTTCCTTCCACCTGTGGGCTGGAGAGAAGCAAGGTAGGGCATCCCCTTGGGAGCCAAGACCACTAAAGCACTTCTCTGTTTTGTGAACTTCTGTCAGATAACTTCACACAGAGAGTTAAAAAAGCTACTGGAGTATTGGGTCCTGGAATTGCTCCCAAAGGTGGAGAACCTGTAGTTCTGACCCACATGAGTCTCCCAGACCCAATTCCACATCCTCTGTGCGTGCTCTTGCATGGCTGAAGCATATCCTTGAATTATTTTTATTTTGCCTGGATGGAAAGATGGCGAGGGAGTTGTAGAAACCTCTGGCTTTGTAAGCCTGGAATGTAGCCCACTGAACAAACCCATCGTTTCCCCAACTTTTGCCTCTGG